GTGTATCAGGCTGTAGCGTCCATTCTGCGGCGTCCACGCGGAATGAATAGCCGCATGTCACATTATTCATTTGAAGTTTTTGGGCGTAACGAGCCTCGTTAATTTTGCTGAGGACATTGAAGTAGTCCGACTTTTCTAAGAAGACGTAGAATCAATAATTACAAACCAAAAAAGAGCACGGGGACTCACATCGACGTCGACGACGTGGCGTTCCAATGGTTTGTTAATGGACATGCAACGGTGCGCTTCTTGCCCACACCCCATCGCGCATGCGCTCGCCGGTGGCGTCTTCTAAAGGCTCTCCGGAACGTTTGTGAACATGAGTTGGCGTATAGCTTTATAACGCTTCATAAACGCGTCAAGATTAAAACTGGTGTTTTTATTCTATCCACCTCTTCATCCTCCTCGTCTTGATGTATCCTGGCCTATCGTCGTCTTCCTTCTTGTCTGCCTCTTGGAACACTACACACGCTGGGGCTTTTGTCCTCAACCCGCCTGGGGTGATATGGAATTATATTCTTAATAGATGCCATTTCGGTGGTGTTGTTGGGTCCCACGTAGTACAGCGTCTTGAGGATGCCTTGTTGACTGCACGTCTTGGTAACCATGTAAGGACCAGAAAAGGCAGCCTTGGATCCTTGTAGGCCTTTTCGCACTAAAATCATGTCGCCGGGTTGAATCTCTGGGACTGCACTTAGGAGCCGTGTGTCGTAATTTCTTTTCATTGACGATCGATATTTTTCCTGCTGCTGTGGGGGTCGTTTCTGTTCTTGTAGCGTGATTTTGTCGGTGAGGCCCAGGAGATGATCGGCAGGTAGCCATGGGCTCTCTCCGCGCGCTGCGAAATGCGGACTACATCCCAATCCAGCGGTGTGGGAACGATTGTGGTGTGCAATGGCTGCCTCAAGTGCGCATTTCCATCCACCTGTGAGCTCGGGGTACATTTTTATGAATTGTTTGATGTCGCGTATCGCCCGTTCAGCTAACGCGTTGCCTTCCGGGTGATAAGGAGCTGGAAATCGAAGTGTGATTCCTTTTTCCTCTGCCCATCTTTGGAACTTCTTGCTGCGGAAGGCCGGTCCATTGTCTGAAACAATGACTTTCGTGTTCTCGAAGACCTCTCGTTCCATCAATGAAATGACAGAGTTAGTGTCTTCTCTGCCAGCTCTTGCAGCTACGATGCGCGTGCATTCATCGATGGCAATTAGAAAAGCTTGCGTTTTCTTCACTCCTTCTCCCTTCTTTTTGATTTCTGCAAAATCGAGATGAATAGTCTCGAAGGGAACATCAGAGTATTGAGGGGTCACCATTTCGTCTCCCCGAGGTCGGTATTTGGCCTTATGAATTTGGCACACGTGGCACGTACGCACATAGTTGGCGATATCATGTCTCATGTTCTTCCATGTGAATCTCCTTGTCAGCTTCCAGTAAGTCCTCCAAAATCCGTCATGTCCTCCTGATTCAGGACTGTCGTGATAGAGTTGTAACACCCTGGGAATCATGGACTCTGGCACATGGAATTTCCCATCTTGTAATTCCAAGTGCTGGGTACCTTCCCAAATTCGGGCATGGTTTATGCTCCCGTTGAGTGTATCTCTTGGAATAAGAAGTCTGGAGAGGGCGTCAGCGTCAGAAAGCTTCTCCCCGGGTCGGTGAGCAACTTCAAATGAAAATTGTTGTATTTCAGTCACCCATCTGGCCATTCGTCCCTTCGGTTGGGTTAAGCTCAAGAGGTAAGTAAGAGCTTGGTTGTCTGTGAAAAGTTTAAACTGACGACCTTCGCGGTAACTTCGAAAATACCTCAAAGCCATCACCACAGCTAGGGCTTCTTTTTCTGTCGTGGCGTAGTTTTCTTGGCTTTTCGAGAATGTGTAGGAGTAGTAGCCAACGACTTTCAACTGCCGGTTAGGAGGCTCTGTTGCGTGTCTCTGATAGAGGACAGCTCCTGTGCCGTAGCCTGACGCGTCAGTGCAGAGTTCGAATGGCAGTTGGAAGTCAGAAGTCAGGCAGTACCAATACCGGGTCAGAAGAGATGACCTTGACAAGGTAGTCGTACACACTCTCGCACTCTTCAGTCCAGACAAACGGGGTGTCTTTCTGAGTCAAAGCGGTCAAGCACTTTGTTTTCGTAGCATAATCTTTTATGAATGCCCAAAAATGTCCGGCCAGGCCTAGAAAAACACGTAATGAGTGTAGGTCATAGGGCTTGGTCAGCTTTGATATTCTTTGCACTGATTCTTCTTTCGTGCTTTTCGTTTTTCCGTCAAAAACTCGTCTCAGGAAACCTACTGTTCTTTGGAAGAATTCGCTTTTCTTGGTGTTGATTTTCAACCTGGCAGTACTCAGTGCTTCGAGCACCTGAGACAAATGGTCCATGTGTTCTTCTTTTGTTCGGGAATAGATGATAATGTCGTCGACATAAGCATTGCAGAATTTACCCAAAAAGTTCTTGAGTATTTCATTTATCATCTTCTGAAACCAGGCTCCAGAGTTCTTCCACCCAAATGGTAGTCGGTAATATTCGTACACGTCGAATGGTGTTACAAAGGCAGTAAAGCGCTTGGTGTCTTCTTGTAGAAGGACCTGCCAATACCCTTTGCATAGATCTATCCTGGAGAACCAGGAGCACCCTCCTGTCTCGCTGATGATGTCATCGACGCGTGGCATAGGGAAAGGGAAAAGATCGGTCTGGGAATTGATTTGGCGATAATCAGTGCAGAGACGAAACGTGCCATCTTCCTTCGGTACTATGGTGATTGGGGATGCGAACGGGGACGTCGAGGGTCTGATGATCCCGGCATCTAGCATTCCCTGCGGCTCCCGCTTAAGCCATAATTTCTTTTCGTGGGACATGCTGTAGGGTTTTTTTCGCACTACAGAAGTGTCGCGTAGTTTGAATGGAACCTCAATAACCGAGGTTGGTGGTGGATATGATTCTACACATATCAACTCTGGGAATGATGTTGGTACGTCCTCAGACCTCTTCACAGTTCTGAGCATTTGAACTGGAGTAGCAGGTGGGCTATCCGCATCGTGGTCCAGCGTTACTTCGTCCCTCCAGGATATATTCATTTGGAAGCGCTTCATATCGGGTCGTGATAATATGAACACGAACTCGACGTCTTCTGCGACGAGTGCCTCGACCGGGATTTTCTTTCCCTTAAACTCGACTTCCAACGTCGTCCAGTTTTGCATCAGCTTAACATTGTCATCATAGCTGTGAACCTCGATGGGTTACCCACTTCGTATGTTTTCTGGGTCCACAATACTCTTGTTGACAAGACTGATGGATGCTCCAATGTCAACTAAGGCATCCACGTGTCTCCCACTGACGATAACAGGGGCATAAAGGATGTTGTATTTAACCAAGTAGACAGTCGCTTTCTTCGTCATCGGGAGGGACTGTGCTCCCTCTTTTATTAGTTTTTCGGCTGGTCGTTAGCACCGCTGTTCACGATGCAGTGGCATGTATCGTAGCACTCGCCTTGAGGCCCTTCCACGATCTGGTGGCAAGCGCGTGCATTCGCACGTGTTTCGGGGCTGCCTAAATTGGGTCTTGCGTTCATCCAAGGCTTGTTACTTGCCTGGTTTACTGGAAGCTTTTGGCCGCTGTGGGTGTCGACGATAGCGCTTCTGGGGTTTGTTAGTGGTCGTTGTTGTCCGTAGGGAATAGAGTGGTCCACGAACACACCCTTCAGTGAATACAGGAGGTCCTCGATGGTCTTTGGAGAGTGCGCTTGCACTTGTCTTTGTGTATCTCTGCTCATCCCGTGGATGACGAGTGGGACGATCGATGTTTCGGGTAAATTAGAATCGGCGAGCTGTAGAAGTCTCCGCTTCTCATAAAAGTAATCTAGTAGGCTGCCTCCTCTATGTTTGTAAAATATTGCCTCATTCCACCGTTCAACCGCATTTTTGTCAAAAGATGTAGTGAAGCTCTCCTTCCACATATCCCACGAATCGTTGGTGTGCTCAGCCACACGAAGTTCGTACCACTTTTTCGCATTCCCTGCGAGGAAGAGTCTTAAATTCTTGATCCGCTCGCTGTTTTATGTCTAGCGGTTTTTCTCACAGGCATATTCGTAGAAGTCCAGTCACGTAGAAGCAGCTGAAGATTCACCGTCGAACATATCTGGCTTTACGGTCTCTTCACGCCTACGTTCTTGCACTCTCATAGTTTCTAAAATGGTAATCATGAACTGCCTCTGCTGTTCCATTTGAGATACTTGCATCTGTAGCAGCTGAGCAACAACCGATGTCATGTCTCCACCAGCTGAAATCACTTGACCAGAAGTAGTGGTCGGCTTCTGAAACCACTCCTGGAATTCCTGCACTCTGATGTTTAGTTTCACCGTCCGTTTTAGAAGAAGCTCTTTCGGCGACAATTTCGCTTTCCCGGCGATGAAGGAGATAAGTTCCATGTTGTTAGCTTCCCGGACCATTGGAACTGTTTCCTCACCGTCCAGCTGATAGCTCTCCAGTATTGGCTGCCCTTCTTCGCCAACCGTCAGAATTAAGTAAATCCACATCTTTCACGTAATCCTGTCGGCTGCGCCAAGTATAACGATTCATAAACGCGTCAAGATTAAAACTGGTGTTTTTATTCTATCCACCTCTTCATCCTCCTCGTCTTGATGTATCCTGGCCTATCGTGGTCTTCCTTCTTGTCTGCCTCTTGGAACACTACAAGCTTGTCTTATCCTTCATCTGAAATCATCGGAAACGGTTTTCCCTTCTACAGAAATGCCACAACATCCGCAACATAAAACACGATATCGCCTGAGCTTTCTGAGAGCGTTTCTAAAGCATAGCTAGTCGCTAGTTGCATTTTGCAACTCTAATGACCGTCCACTGCTTCCGCTTTGCACTACGCAAAAACATGGCGGCGCCCGCAAGACAACCTGGGAATTGAGACCAAATACCTTGTCCGTAGCTCGTTTCGTCGCTCTAGGTTCTGTCATTGATCGTACGCCTGAGAACGGACGACCCTTTTTCTGCAGGCGACGGTGTTGGAGATCGGCCTGGTGCTGCGACTGGCGATCTGGATTATGGGCGCGGTAGCCACGGTCATGGCACTCTACGTCAATTCTGTCAGCGATTTTTGGGCCCTGAGCTCGGACGCGGTGTACGTGCTGCTCTTTCCCCAGCTGGTCGGCGTCTTTTACGCACGGAAGCGGACAAACTCCTACGGCTCCTTCATTGGTGAGTTAGCTGTGCCGGGCGGACAACCTATTCGAAGCGCAAGTTCGTCTGCTTCTTTCGCAGGGGTTGCAGTGACGTCAGAAAGCCGAGCTATGATTGGCACTGATGGGAAAGATAGTGGGTACACGCCTCAATGCTAAGGCTGCCGTGAGGTCTTCCCACTATACTTCAAATCGGAGTCAGTCAGAGCTCGGCATTCTGGACTCACCGTAACCCCTGCGCAAGACGCGGACAAACTTGCGAACCGCATAGCCACTAGAAAGCTACGCTTAAGAGTACCGACACTTGAGCCATCTTGCTGCTTTATCCCATTTTCGCCTATCATGGGAAGCCTCATCTGACATCACCGGAAACGTTTTTCCGTTCTCCATGTATGTCAACAGTTTGCGAGAGGGGAAAATAATATCACCTGTGCTCCCACCGTACCTAAAACCGACTAAGTCGTATTTGTTTAATCGTAAACATCGGTGATTGACCCCGTAGGTGTGATGTTACCGTTTCAAGCAAACCGTTGCTAGGGGCGTTGTTATGGACGAATACATTGGTTTAGATTTCGCTTCGTAAGAACGATCGCTCAAAAATCGGACGTGGAATCAAAACGTCTAAAAAAATATATATAGAGAGCTTAGATTTCCCACTTGCCACGACAGAATGATTTCCGAGAGTCGGCTGTATCTGAAATTTTTGTGAGGACAACGTCCGGTCCTCGAGACATCTCGGGATGACTGCTGCAGACGACAAACGCGTGACGAACGCGCACGGAATGACTGAAGTGTGTCGTCTGCAACAGTTTGTATCGTTTGCAGAATTGTCAGGCTTAGATTTGGTAATAATTTGGAACGTGGCAGGCCAAGGAAACTTACCAGGTTTATAAAAACAAATTGTATCTTGTTAACACCGAAGTTGGTTTTCCATCTTAGTACTTCACAGCGCACACAAGTCTCACAAATCCGGGCACTCACCCAATTACAGGCCCAGAAACATACACAGTACTGTGTGTATGTTTTTGTGTCTGTAATTGAGTGAGTGCCTGGCCCTGTGAGACTTTTATGCGCTGCGAAGTACTAATTTTGTATCTGCGTGCGATACGATACTGTCTGACGAAAATCATCACACGCATAATATCTGCTAAAAATACAGCAAAAAAAAAAAAAAAGCAGCTGTTAGAGCATGAAATCAAAGTAACGTCGGGACCTTTTTTATTGTACAGCTGGCGTGCGTTGTAATGAAGGAGCAATTATTTTGTCTCTAGCATGAGCCGTTTGAGACCCCAAACTTCGTTTTTCAAGCTCGCAATATGGATGCGTGTTTTATACGTACTTGTAATCATCCCACTGATTGAAAATTCTACTGATTGTTCAGTTCTAAGTAAGACCTCAAACAGCAAATGAGTTAAATAAAAACAGGGTAAGTTATATCGCCGCGTGCATGACCGAGAAGGACCGCTTCTCCTTACGTCTAAAATATTCGTGTTTACTTTTACCCCGAGTGTAAAAAATAAGAGGGCCAGAATGGCCTTGCCTAGTCAATCTCTAACATTCTAGGTCGAATGTTCGAGATGCCGAGTGTAGTAGATAAGGAGTCGAGTGTGTACTGTGCCGACTCAGATTGTCCCGATGACAATAGGTACATTCGTTCTCGCCCAGCTAGCTGTCACACCGACGCTGCGACGTACGCTGCTGCTGTTTCGACGCAGTCTTTCTATTGCTCCTGACACAGGTTCACCGATTAAATCTTTATTTTCAGCTTATGCTCGTCGAGCCTTTTCCATCCGCGACATTTCAGCTAAAGGACCAATGTAGGGGTATAGCGTTCCTTCTCGGTCATTCACGCGCCAGTGTATATACGTTACGGACAGTTTGTTTGATCACAGAAATGTGCACTGAAGAACTGTGCTGTCAGAAATTCTTGCAACGCGTGCGGACCTGCACTTCGACCTTAATACGCTTCAGGTTGTCGCCGTACAATATTCGGCTTCAAAATGTTTTCACCTTGTCAAATACTGCGGAAGCGAGCTCCATAGGACGGCGTTCGCGTGCCCGCGCACCTCGAACGTCGATCGGAGCTCCGTACGGGCACTCTTCGCTTCCGAAATCCCACAGAAAGCTGACCCCGAGAATAAAAATGTGGTCAATCGTCACAAACTTCATTCAACGCAGTCGCGCATTCCCTGAGAAAGAAGCACTGAACAACCCGCGAAGCCATCGTGTCGTCATCAAGCGAGGCAACACCCGGTGGTCGAACTTTATTACCGGCTTTTGTCATCGTTTTACGGTACTTACACGATAGAAAAAAATAGTCATGACTAGATATGGCAAAGACACATTGCTTAAAAAAATTATTTACTTTTTATCAGACACTTTCTAAGCACACACCGTGCCCCCATGCATTTGCCAAAAAAAAAAAAAAAAACAGCCAAAGCAACGGTTTGTTTGAAGCGGAGCGCCATATCCCGACGTCATCACTATCGGGAGTTAATTGTGCCTGCTTTGCACACCAAAAATACGGCGCCCAGAAGAGAACTACTGTCGCTACTCTAACCGTAGCCTGTTTAGTGACTCTAGAGCTACCGGTGCATATAAATATAAATGTTCTTGAAGATATGTATACGAAGAGACCAGGGATGGCTGGAGACATTGATGTTCTCAGTATGTTTAGTCTTTAGACGTACAGAGCACTACACAATTAGCACGAAAATGCAATCATAAAAAAGTTTTGTTTTTTTTTGCTTCAAATTGAAATACCGTCATCAAAACTATCAGGGTGCTGAAAAGTGCTGATTCTGGGCACTATGAGCACCAGCTAGAATTTGGGTGCTTGTCTAGGTAAAATTACGCAAAAGCGTCGATGTCGCGTTTCTGCTAATAGACCGATCTGCGACCGGGCACCATAGGCGGTGCCCGGTCGCAGATTTGGAGCGCTAGGATCTGGTAGCACAAAGCATAAAAAAAAACGTTCAGCCTTTCCACTCTGGTGAAGGAAGACCAGCGACGTATGGTGGGGCGACCTCGAAGACGACTTCTTGGACGACCTTAAGGACGACTTCTATGACGACCTCAAGGACGACGCTAGAGGATGTCGTCCTCTAGGCGCCTTCCTCGAGAACGACTTTTGAGAGGACGCCTAGAGAACTTCAGTCTGTCAACTCTGGTGCAAACCAGAGTTGAAAGGCTGGAAAGGTTGCCGCCATTTATGAGCGACGGCGGCAATCAGATAACCGGCAAGCTCATTGTCTGGTTGCCGACGTCTCTCTTAGATGGCGGTAGCTGTCCAGAGTTTTGTATCAAAATTTATTTGTTGACGGACACGAAAACTGGGGAAACTAGCCCTTAATAGCTCAGCTGTAATAGCCATTTCTCGGTGAACCTGGACGTCAGCGCACAGCTTTTGCGGCGGCAAGAACCCAAAACACGCTTGTTCTCTCGGGAGAGGTATGTTTCGGCGTCTCGCCGCAGCGGGGTGCCAGTCACGTGGTTCTCCTCTCATCCGTTGTCTGCCGCTAGAGCGGCAGATAACGGCGCCACTTAGGCGGTCGCTTCTCGTGGCGATCTGCCAGTCTTTGGCAGTATAGGCCAGTGTCTGCTCTGTTCCTTGGGCACCACCATGTCTGTTTATGCTGACGCCATGACACAGTCAAGGGGGGGGGGGGGGGGGGGCGTGCTGCGCTTTTTGCAAGACTTTTTTTTGTAAGCCTTTCCACATGTCGTGATGCAAGAGCGTTACAAATGCATAGTCACGAAGCTCCAAGAACAATACCGATGCCAGAGTGCTGTAAAAAGCAAAAATCTCGTTTTATGCGCAGCACCTCTTTTTACAAAGCCTGAGTTTGAAATTATTATTTCCCGTTTCTATCACTGAGGGTTAGGATTTCAGACGCTGGTCTATTGGCAACGCGCGCGATCGAAAGCGTCGCTGCTGTCGGTCTTCCAGGATTGGCCGATAGCTGACTATGACGTCAGCAAAGAATTTATCATCGACGGAGGTAAGAGCAATCTAAGAACCTCGTTTTTGACGGTGTTGGGAGTGTTGCTTTCAAGCTTCCACCATGCTAATCACAGCCACCTTCGAACTTGTTCGCATGGTAATGACGTCACGAGAGGTAACCATGGGAGGGCGCTACCAAAACATCTCGCAACTAATATAGGAGGCTATGGCGTGATGCCGTCATAACTTTAGTTCACAGAAGGCAGATGGCAATGCACGAGGCGGTTCGTGTCGTTTCGTGCTCTGCACTCGAAAAGCTCCAGCGGGGTTCTCGCTCGTAAAGGAAGACTAAATATCTCTCGACGCGATGCGGCAGCGGCGTCTGCAACGATATTCAATTGGAATGTTTGGAAGGTTTTCACCTTACACGAGCTTACTGGCACTAGTGGAACTCAAGGATACTCGCACGCTCCGCCACTAGCCAAGAAACTCCTTTGTTGCGGTGCAATTTCAAGGACAAAAGCGAGCGTTTTAGTTCAATCTCTCCTTCGCGAAACTTGATGACGTAACTGGGGGATCGCCGTACCGCCCAGTGAGGATATTTGAGCATTGCGTGGGCACTCAATTTGGGCTCGTGATAATCGATAGCTTAAGACGCATTGGGGTAGTGACCCGTGTCCAATCGCCGCAATGCCAATAGCCGAACCATAACAATGTCTGGAAGTCAGCGCGTGTCCTGTGCCTTGCCAACCCCAGCGCGTGGCCATGATCAAATTTGGCAGCATATAATTGGCTCCAGATCACGTGGCCGCTTGTTCTGGTTACGAGTTGATTGGGTGAACGCTGCTCATTTTTCTTTATTTTTTTCTGCGACTCTGATTGCATGCGGTGAAACGGGAACAGTGTTTCACAGGTAATTATCGTCAGGGATCCGTTCTAAGCGGTATTTGCGCAAAATAGAACAAGTCGTTGTATCGCCCCTTTTTTGAAACTGTCTGGTGAAATCGGTTTATTGCATGGCACGGTGTATTGCAAACAGGTTGACACGTGACTCTGGGCCTTTTCGTTGTTTCTTGCGCGTAACGTTTAAAAGGCCCAGCGAGTGCGGGGCCACGCTATACTCTATGTTACCTTATAATATACCGCAGGAAATGTTACAAGCGCGAACTCCTTGCTCTCGGGCACATCGCGATGGCACAAGCTGTCGTGCATTAAGGGCAGTGGCCAACGTTATGATCTGGCCTTCTAGCCTTCGCTGTGGTTCAACATAAGGTAAAACGGAGCAAAGATATGTACAGTCGGGGACAAAAGTCCCCAGGACGTGCGAGCTGCGGCTGAAACGCATTGCTCTGCCATCTGCCGGCGGGTCGCCTGGTTTCGAGATCACAGAAAAGCGCATGCGCGTCCTACTCTGCCTGCAAACATGTCTGTTTTCCCGCTCTTCTGCGGCAGAGCGCCTAACTCGGAATCGGGCGCGTGGTACCGCCTCGGAGATAGCGCTGGCGGTTGATGAGCGTCTGCTACACATTCTAAAACTCGAGATACCGGCTGGGGCATTGCGCCGCATTTCGCCGTGTCAGCGCACCTTGCTTGATAACCAGTTCAGCTTATCGCTCAGTCGAGCTGCCGTGACTTGTTGCTTTATAGGTGCCATGTCAGTAAGCGCTATCTCCGAGGCGGTACCCCGCGCCCGATTCCGAGTTAGGCGCCGCGTCGCGGAAGAGCGGGAAAGCGCACATGTTGGCAGGCACAGTAGGACGTGCAAGCGCTTTTCTGCGATCTCGAAACCAGGCGACCCACCGGCAGATGGCAGAGCAATGCGTTTCAGTCGCAGCTCGCGTGTCCTGGAGACTTTTGTCCCCGACTGTACTTGTTTATCGAACCTTCATGTGCCTATCTTCAATTGCATGATTACTGTTATAAAAGTGAGCATATGATTTTTGTGCCATCTCACAACTTACGTACAATCCTATTCAATGCACGAAAGCGAAAGCGTTTTTCTGTTTAACTCTTAAAGTGCAAAAGAACTAAGGATACTGAACCAAAATTTCAAGCTCACTAAACAAGGCCGGGCGGATAGGTGGGAAGCTGCAAAACCAAAAAATATCACTCATAGAGCGATATATCTAACGGATCGCCGTATTTTTTTGGAAAGGAAGCGCGCAATTGAACCCGGTGACGTGGCCGACGAGACAAGGCACGTCACGATTCCCTGAACCGAAGCGAGGAGGAGAGAAGCAAGGCCGCTTCTCCTCATTCTCAAATTCTCCCGGAGGACAGTTACGTCAAAGAACTCGCTTGATCGCCCCCTTCTTTTCCGAATGTACGGCCATCCGTTTGAGATATCGATGTACGGGTGATGTTTTAGAGTTCGTAGCGTCCGGTTCAACACTTCCGCAGCCTTACTTTGCGAAATCCAAATTTCGGTTCAGTATCCCTTTAAGCCACGTGCTTTCCCCGTACCTCCCACAACATAGTGGCGAGTTTGACAGCTGTAGTAGAACTCTGAAAAAACAGAAGCGGACTTAAACGGCGTTGTAAGCGGCTGAAGAAAGCAATATGCCATTCACTCCGAATCAAAGAGACTTGACTATTGATTAAAAAAAATACAACCAATACTCGAAATTTGCTACTATCCAATAAATATGATATGTACTGAACTCGAGTCACTTATTTCTATAACTTGACAATTGACAAATTACCTACCCGTATCCACCTATAGTGAGACAATTACTATTTGTTGTTTCCCTTGAACCTACCCGAATGCCATTCTGGTGCAGCTGCAGTTTGGATTGAACCAAGTGCGGCAGCAGGTTGCCTGGTCCTAAGGTGTTCGCACAAGATACATCGCGCAGTAGGTTTAGCTGTTAACAGTCAAGGCGCTTACAATTCAAGAATGTATTGCCTATTTTCATCCTGTTGTTTTGAAACTCCTTTCACGGCGTCTTTAGACCGCCAGGTGCTGTGCAAATCTGATTCTCTCAAGAAAGCTGGCGAATGAACAGGCCGTGACAGCTTTTTTTTCTAGCCACCATAGGTGCGTCGATTTTTCAGAGGTCGCCAACAATATTGGCGTTCTCTGACGAGAAAGAGAAACTTTCTTGACCTACTCCAGAAGCGTGTACTATCATGGATATATTTTATTGGTGGCCATAATTTTTCAGCCTTCCCATGATAATATTGATACCTTTGACGGCGCTAGGTATATACAAAACTATATTTTAATATGTTGAGAACCTACTTTATCGGTGTTTCTGAGTATCATATCTGCGATAGCATAAATTTCATTGCAAATAATATTTATTTTTGTCTACGATGCATTTATAACAGCTGCTAGCACATCCTTTGCTTGAAAGAGTAATTTATTGACTTTCAAGCAAGACCGTTGAAGGCTATTGCAAAATACTCTCGCCTAGTCATTCTTTACAAACTATAAAGGCTCGAAATCACGAATCCGGGGGATATATTCATCTTGCCTTATTACTCTCTTAGAGTCCTCCAGGATTCTTCAATATGAGCTTCGTATAAACAACCCGTAAATATGTTACGCATTAAGTAATTTAGTTTCGAAAGCGTTCAGATGCTGTGGGCTATAACACAATTCAGCATTACTTCGAAGTCAGTCACTGACGTTATTTGACTTGGTCCTTTAATGAATATCACTGTGGAAAGTGGGTTGCTGTTTTTGAAATGCTGATTTATAATTTAACTTTGGCTAGTTATTCGACCTTAGCTAGAAAAAAGGCTTCCACATCAAGTATTAAACTTTAATTTGAATTTGTATGGCCTACACATCACTTAAGACATGAAATGTGAAGCGTGGTAGCTCACATGCTATACATACACGAAATCAGTGCACAGATATAGAATGCTATCACGGAGGGCAACAGAGACGGCACAAGTTTAGAGACAAATGTGAAACTTCGGGTCAACTTGGCGTCCTATCAGCAGGACGGGACATTACAATGAGCTTTCTGAGATTATACTGAGAATGTTAAGTGTGTTTGTAAACAGGTTATATACAAATGAAAGAAACAAAGTAGAGGAAACACAGACGATATAATATTCGCGAGTCAGACTCTAAAACAAAAGTGTGAATTTACTTTTCTATGCCACACCTAAATAACCAATCACGTCGAACAATAGTTGACACCGAAAGACTAAACTTTGAATAAAATGATTAGCTGAGTTAGAGACACTGCATGTCCCTGTTACTTTCTCTGCAACTGTAAAAAAAAAAAATCCTTTTTTTGTTTTGGTTTTGGGTTAAAATAATCATGGTAATACAATTATAGGCGGAAAAAACCGATGCACGCAGGGTCAATGAGCGAGTGAAATGTCCTGTTCATTATCCTTGCGCGTATCACATTTACTTTTGAACTGCAGTAATTGTATCCTGAGCTTCGTCATTTGCTTTTATCCTCGTAGTGTTCGTCGTGGTTGGTTTTTTGCTTTTTGCAAAGGAAGGCGAAGTGTTTGCCCGTAGTATATCACATAGCAATGTCTCGCTAGTTTTCTACTTCTGTGAATATTTTTCGTTTAAATAAGACTAAAACACTGCGCTTCTAAAAAATCCCCTCTATTCGTGATCCTGTTTCAATTCTTGCAGGGTTTTCAGTCGGCGCCTTGTTTCGGGTCCTGTGCGGAGAACCCCTGGTGAACCTTCCCGTCATTCTGAAGCTGCCCATGTACGACGAGAGGCTCGGCCAGCAGTTTCCCTTCCGCACCTTGTCCATGGTGCTCAGCTTCGTCACCCTGATGGCCACATCCCATCTGGCGAAGAGGCTGTTCACCAAGGGTGTCCTTCCCCAAAAGTACGATGTGTGCTGTTGTTTCATGCCCGCTGCAGCCAAGGACACTGCCGACAAGGACAAAAAAGCAGACAACACTTCGAAGGGCGAAAAACAGAGTTCTGGAAAAAAAACCAGCAGCGCTCCTCCAACAAACGCTCCGAGCATGCTTGAGATCGAAGAAAACACGGGCGAGGCTTTGCCGAGTGCCGTTTCAACTGCCTCGCAGAAAACAGCTATCGCCGGCTCTTCCAAAACCACAGTCGCTCCCCAAGAACAGGCTGCCGATGGCTCTCAACAGGATGACGTCGGGAAAACCTCCAAAGAAGAAGCTGCGGGCACGAGCAAAAAAGCTGCCGGTCACAACAAAAAGAAAAAGCACAACCGCAAAGACAAATCAAAAACGGACAGTGTCGCAAGCAGCGCGAAGAAGGAGACGGCGACCTCTGACAAGGAAGGTGCCGATTCCTTTGGCTAAGACACAACCTATGCCTGTGATTCGCGGTGGTGCCCTACTATATATACAGAATGCAATATCACTGGTAGTATGTGGGAGAATGCATTTCAAGCTTTACGAAATAATCTTAGGGTTTTCTTCTTTCTTTCTTTTTAACGGGGTTTACTAATCCAATAATTGTTAAGCCCTAAATTCGAATCACGTACATTCTACAAAGAATGTTTGCTGACCTGCCGTGACACTACCCGGAAAATGTGGACGCTTTTTGATGACCTTAGAATTAGTTTTTGATAGAATGTTTTAAGGGCCATTGTATTTACTTTAGAACAATTAGCTGCTTTTGGTGATTGCTTTTATATAATTTTAAATGGCCGCTTCGGCACAATGACCTGATGATTGTATATAAAATGAAACCAAAATGCTGAGTTATTTCTTGCTTTTCTTATTGAATCACCTTTACCCCCAAAGAGCTGTTGAAAGACTTGGATGCTTTCCTATTCTCCACTTACTGTGACCTGGCGTTGCATGCAATGACAGGTATTTAATGAGTTCGCTTATGTATTATGTGGAGCTTTTTTTTAAATGAGCCAAATTTAGTTTTGGATTTTATGGTTAAATAGCAAGTAAAGAATAATTTATTTTTATTTTTTTAACACCTCGTTTTTTTTTATTTAGGAACGTGCCACAAACTGTTAATAATATTCAAATTCAATGTGTATAGGAAACACACCTTTTTTTCCCGATTTTCGTTTTACATTGACTTGCTCATTTAGGAAGAATATATGCTCATAAATTCACGCATAGGAGTAAGTAAACACTTGCTTGCAGACAAAACGGTAGTTGCTTCAGAGGAAAGCATTTCAAATGGGACTTCCAGTGGTATCTTAGTTATTATAAAATAAGTATATTTAAAATACGCGCCCAATTTCGCTCGTGACTATACTTGTTAGCTAAATTTTTTTTCTGAGGTTACTTCAGTTTTTACATTTCGAAACTAAACTAACAAACTAATGAAACCTCCCCTAATGTTTATGGCTTTTTCTCCGATGTCGTACTCCTCTGAACATAAAGGTCAATCTTATTATTTGGCGTTTATCGTATCTTGAAAAGAGTGAGCGCGATTAAAACCGGTCAGTTTTGAATCGGCGGTTTTCGGGCGGATAGAACACAAATGTCAAGCCGTAAATTGTGTTTTGGGTAGTTGGGCTCTTATATGTCGTGTACAAATATAAACCTTGGCGAGCATAGAAACCCCGCCAGTCTCTCCTTATATAAACTAAAAACTCATTCAGAAAAAAAAATAAAATCAAATGTTTTCTGGTTAATGTAGCGTCTCTGAGGTCTGAAATTATCCTCCAAATGGGGAGGAACGCTCAAAATAACTATATTCACGTCGAAACATTTTTGCCGTATATGTAAAATGTTATTGAATAAAATGGCTCACTAAAAGGGCGATAAACGGCAAATATCTTTTGACCCAATCTGTAAAAAAATGTTTTTACGTGACGCGGCAAGCTATCTACACTCGCATAAAAATACAAGGATGACACCCTCGGTCTCCAAAAAAATCTTCGAGGCACTGCCTTTAAACATTAGTGAGGGAGTTACAAAACGTATTTATGAAAGAAACGGATACATCACGAACTGTTGGTAAAGTTTTCCAATCGTGAAGGGGAAGGTGGTTATGGGAAGGTTAGCGTAAGGAGGCTAAATGTAACAGGCGATCCGTAATGAGATTACGAAACAAATATAGGAATGCACAATTCTTTTCTTTGCGAGTGCTCAAGCCTGAGGCGAGTCCATGCACCGTACGTGGCTGATCTCGCCTCTTCAGGGAGTCAGTTTATGGCGTTGTAACGTTGCTCACGACCCCCTCGTACATCCAGACGAGATGGATGCACGTCGCGGAAATCCCGCGGTACGTGCAGAGCAGATCGGGGCCGGGATTTTTGGGTACGGTCGTACGGTGAAACCTTCCCAGCCAAACTGGGCTAATGGCTGTCTTTGTTTGAAGCCTGCGTATGCAGACCCGTTTCCGCCTGCTGTAATTAGGAGGGATAGGGTCGGCATCGCCAGAGTAGGGCAGAGAGCCTGAGCTTCCTTGCAGCCCTCTCCTCTTTCTTGATCTCTTCAATGTCGGCAGAAGTTCCGGGTTTTCTTCCATGAGGGGAAGGGGGCGTGTATAGGTGAGGGCATGAAACCTGCATGTAGATGCGTCCTCACGGCCTCGTTCGCCCTCTCGTTCCCAGGAACACCTTCGTGCCAAGAGACCCACGAAAACACGACGTTGACTAGTGGATGAGATTCAACGATGACGCTCTTGATTTCCTCCACCATTGGATTTCTGCTGTCGCCTCGGCCGCATATTTCGAGGGCTTCACACAATTTGTGAAGATGCGTGAAGATAAGGCAGTGGACGCAGGGACTATTTCGGGAAGGTGATGAGCCTCTTTCTTGGATAGCGTGAAGCAGCGCTAGTAGCCCCGCCTTTTTCGGGGTGCTGGTCTTGTGCATGGTGCCACTCCACGTGGTGACCTTGGAGACGGAGTGCCAGACAATCGCTGAGCGGCCCGCGTCGTCTCTGGCAGCATCTGAATACATGACTTCGGCGCTGGTCAATGAATTGAGCTCATCAAGGTGCTTGTTGGCCGTATTCTTGCTACTTCATTTGTGTTGTTTTCCTTGATGAGAACCGGTTTGATCGGAACGACGATCTTGTTCTTCCATAGCGGAGAGGGAGTTGGCATTGCTGCTGTGTTTGTGAGGACCTCATATTTCTCGAGTTTGGTGAGGGTGATACTGTCTGGTGGAGATCTGGATAGGCTATTTTGAGCTTGGCCTTGACTCTGGCGGTTCTTCTTGTCCTGTACGTTATTAGAGCCGACAGTGTCGAAGCCCAGAGATTCGTGAGTTAAAGATCCGGCGCAGGAGTATCCTCCTTGACTTAGTACGTGGTCTTGGAAAGATTTACAGCTTCCACGATTCTGCGGTCAAGCAAAAGGTCTTTGACACTGTACATGTTGGCACGAAAGGAATCCCAATCGAAAAAGGTGATGGGCGTCTTGCGAGACACTCGCAGCAGGAGAACTTTGCTGATGGGAAGGCGATCACTTCCCACAGGGTCAAGCAGCGTCTTAAACCTAACCTTACGTTTCTTGGTAGCCTACGTGAGATCGGGTGATGTATCCGTTTCGGATTCGTGTTGAGAGAGTCTGGTGTGAGCCCCCATGTCGTTGTATAGTTGTAGGGGCAGGCAGCCTTCAGCTCTTCGCCCCCGTCGTGTTTCTAATTTCGTACTCCTGCGCAGTGTGCATGGCGTTGAATTCTCCAGCAATGATGGTGGGCGTCCCTGCGTCCACTGCTCCGCAACTAGAAGAAGTCGTATTCGTTGACCCCAGGTCTACTGTACACGCTGATTACATCTACGCTTAGAGGTTTCAGTTTGGGTTGTATCAAAACAACTTCACGGTGTTCACTGCAACAGGGAACCGTGTCGAGTTGTACTGTGGAATTTATCTCTTGACGAGAGTAAGTGTCGTGCATCAAACTTCGCCCTGCCTTAACATGATCGGTTGGGAGTAGATATTATAATTTCGGATTTCGACATCTTTGAGTAGGCCCTCTACCAGAATTACGTCAGGGGCTTCCTCCCGGAGAAGTTCCAGTCTCAACTTGAGCTATGCGAGCTTGCAATGCAGGCCCCTACAGTTCCACTGCAGGAACCAGCTCTTATGTCGTTTTTTTGGCTCTCAAAGACGCCTTTCGGAGATGTCCACGTTAGCGTTCATGTGTGTTGACTACGGCGTGGACGAGTACGCAAAAACAATCTACCTTATTTTCGAGGGTCCTGAATTTGCCTCTAAGTTCTCAAACTCTGGCCTGGTAATAATAGGCCCCTTGTGTTCAGAGACCCACAGAAGGACGCATTATGCGTTAACGTTTCTGTGCTTTGGTTTCAGTGCATGAGAATGAAGCAGGGACTTCAGTGAGAAAGGACGGGAAGGGGGGGGGGGGGGGGGGGGAGCAGCCGACTTCTTGAATTCGGGCGCAGAGCATTTGGAGCCTTGTTGGTGTAGTGATTTCTGGGATTTCCTCTCATCGCGTCGCCGCGGCTGCGGTCGCGGACCGGGTTGCTGTCGCCTTCTGATGGGAATCTTGCGAAGAGGGCAGTCATTGCTCGTCGCTATGTGAGCACCACCACAGGTGACGCATTTGGTTTCGAGCTTGCATCTCACGGTGGGGTCATGCTCGTGGCCACACCGGTGGTATCTGACTGCGTCCTGAGGGCAGAATTTGGCCTAATGGCCGCGAGCTTGTGGCACTTATGCCAGACGAGGGGTCTGGGCCTTTAAGAGGACACGTTAAAGAACACATAAGCATAGCGTACGTATCTCGAAAGGGTCTGACTCTCGAAAATAATGAGCACGATCCTTCCAAATTAATCGATGATCCTGGCTGCGAAATTTTATGGGTTCTGAACTCCAGCTCCTTCATCACTGGCTCCGGAGTTTCGTCCTTATTCTGTCCCCCGGGGTAGACGACCCGTTTTGTTTGGCCACTCGACCTGGCGATGTAGGGCTTCGTTTCCAGAGCCTTACCTTCCTGCTCAATAGTTCCAATCATGATAAGCTTATCGACCGTCTGCTGACTCCTGGGCCCTTTTTCTCGAACGCGAACCGTGGGTTAAAGTTAACTATTGTCCCTAGAAAAAGGGAATTATAGGTCGCGTGACTGGGAGAGCAGGGGCGCCGAGGGGGGAGCAGTACCTACAAGTAAAATGGCCGTGACGTCGCTTAATGAGGGCTAATAGTTCTGCTTGGTTCTGCTGAACATTCATTTCGATCCGGCTGTTATATTAATGACGCACCATCAACCTATTAGCACGTCAAGCAAAGCGGTAGTTAATACGCACTACTAAACTAACCGACGGCAGCATTCCGCGAACGCATCACTCTTCAGCAGTCCGAGATCCAAGACATATGACGGTACATAAGCCTTGCAATTGCTCTTATGGTTGGTAAACAAATGTTTTGCGAGCGAGTGTTGGTATATATTTATACTAACACGTTTAATTAGTTACACTATGCACGCCAACTCGTGAGCAGCGATCACTTTGAGGATAAAGGGGGTTATCCTCGATGAAGTCTTCGTTCCGGGTGAAGAGCTGGGACATTGTACTGTTTTTTTCATCGCATTGCGCCGAAAGTGTGCCGACAGCATCGAGGGTTCTACATATCCCCGGTGGCCAGCAATTCAACGGTGACGAGAAGCTTAGCTTCTCGTCACTGGTGGATTGGTTGGGCAAACGGAAGAGAGGGCAAACAGTTGAGATCAGCAGGAATCGCAGAAACGTTCGTCGCAAGGATCAAAAACGAGACTACAGCACCGGTGTAGCCAGACTTTAAGGCACACGGGACAGTTATGCGTTGTTTATGGCGAAACATATTGAAGAAATTGTTTCTTACATTTTTTTTAATATTCGTCGACAAACTCTAGCATAGTAGCTAAATTGTTTTCGTACCGTCTGAAGCAAATAAATTGGTCTTCAAGTACAACATTACTATATTTTGACTTAAAATACCATACTAGATCAATGACAACCAGCGGAAAAAGAGGATAAACAAAATGACTGGCTTGTTTCACCGATAGACGGCGCATCTTACTGCCCAATCAAAAATAATTATTGTTCTATATCCAGCCGTTTATTACAGTACCTAGGTGCTTTTTCTTTTCTAGGCAGCGTGGTTTACCAAAATGGGTTTACCATAGCTTCGAGAAAACCGGCCCTGGTGGTGATGGCAATCGTATTCGATTTCTCGTTGACATGAACGGAATATTCTTTTTCATCGACTATATTGTTCGAGTAATCATAGGGGGAGACTGCAAAGTAGACTAGCAGGCCCATGCTCCTCCCCCCTCCTCCCCCCCCCCCCCCCCCCCTATGTTTCGGTGTCCTCCCAACCCGACTGAAGCCTCAATTCTGCTATTGCCTCAATTCGGCTAGAAGTTTCGAATCGGCTGCACGCTCCAGTTCGGCTAAATTTTTGAATTCGGCTAGATGTCATCATCTTCGTCATCTTCGATATCTTCGATATCTCTGTCATTCGTCATCTTAGATATCTCTGATCAAAAACAAACAAGGAAATTTGGCTTGTTGTTCCCACAGCTGGAGCGTACCGTTAGAGGCCATGACTGTTTGATTTTCTTCCCCAATAGGCATGCGGGTCAGAGCAAGAACGGTTCGGAGAGCGCGGCGACTTCGCACGAGGTTCTGAGCGCCAGACTTCGTCTTCGTTTCTCTCAAGGAGGAGGAGGAGGACGAATTCCGTAGAGTAGTAGAGTGGACGAAGTTTGCCATGCGGGAAAAGCGCCGACGATGTCCCGTCCGAAATATAGAGGGAAACGGAAAGAAGAGCAGAGAAAGAAGGCAGGAGATGGGGAAGGAGGGAGGAAAGAAAGGAGAGGAGAGCCGGCGGTCAGTGCTAAAATCACATGTCGCTACACATACACACACACAGACACACACACACGTGGTTTTCTGGAATTGGCTGCTTTTAAAATTGTGCTAAAAGTCCAGAGTCCTTTAAAAACCGCAAGAAAAAAAAAAAGGACCCGCATATGTCTGCGTTGAGCTCGAGAGCCCCGGGGAAAAATAATGTCATCAGTTCCTCCAGTGGAGGACGAAGGTCCTGGAGCTGCTGGGAGAATCTTTGCCTTTGAACGCTTTTTTTATGACATTCCGAAAGCATCTGGTCGGCGTCTTCTGAGACCTTGCAAGCGTCACATAGAGGCGACTTCCTTTTGCAAACACGATACAATACTTTTCCAGTTTTCGCAATTCCAGTGCGGAAGCGAAGTAGAACTGTAGCTTCTGCTCGGCTGAGACCACTTAGGAGGCAAGGTTGGTGCCATGATTCTTCCGCTGGACCGAATGATGAAATATGTTGGGGAACTTGCTTTTGGAGCCAGCGGTCGTCTGTCGAACACTTGAAGCGTGTTTCACATGCAGCGATCTGGCGCTAGAGCGACGCGATTTCTGCCAGAGCGCCGCGACGGCAGAAATCGCGCCGCTCTAGGGCCAAAGCCGCTGCATGTGAAAGACGCTTTAGCTTCAGAGCGAAATCGTGGGCTCGAGAAGCGAGACGATCTGATTAAAAGAATACAAAGTCTTGTGCTCGGAATCTCGTTCGAAGGCCCCGCGCTCTTCAAACCGTTCTAGGAAGGAAGAGGAAGTCCGGTGCTCGGAATTTCGTGAGAATACCCCGCGCTTCTCGAAGAGTTCCTGCTTTGACTCGCCTGCGGCTGACGGATCACCATTAGAGTCACTAAATAAGAAGCTACGGTTTAGAGTCGTCACAATTCAGCCATTTTGGTGCTTAAATATCCAGTCATCTGAATCTTTATTTGAAATCGCAGGAAACACTTTTCCGTCCTCCAGAAATGCTAAAACAGTTGGCGACAGAGCGACAAGATATCACCTGAGCTTCCTGACATCGAACCTAAAGCTGAGGAAGTCGCCTCCTTAAATTGTGGTGAACGAACGCTGCATCTGCTCTGCACTAAGCACCGAAATGGCGGCGCCCACTAGCAGATCGGTGGACGGAGTGCCGATACTCTAAGCGTATCTTAGTTACCCGAAGGAAAAATCTATCAATGTAACCCTGCTTGGCAGTCAATGTTTTCTAGTGGACCGCTGACTGTGCCTAACTGTACGTCAAACATGTCTGATTGGAAAACAAGTTACTCTGACCGACAGTCAAACTCCAGTCAGACTCCACTTGTCGGCTTTCTGATGGTTTCCTGGTGGCAGTCGGCCGCCGCGAAATGCCATCAAGATGTCTTGGTGGCGATTCTGATTGTACATCGATTGACTCTGACTGTACGTCAAAAAGCTTTGACGTGCAGACAGACATACGGTCAAAGGACGTAAAGTTCGTTCGGATACCACTATTTCGTCAAATCTATGAATACGAAAAATAGTCTATGCACAAGAAAATGATTTCGGGACGTGAGCCCATAAAACCGCTGATGCTAGAGATATGACACGCAGCCGACCGACAACCTTGATCAGAAGCCCGCCGAAACTCCGAAAACGCCACTTCGCTGACTTCGGTTCGCCCATAGAGGCTTCGCCGCGAGCTTTCATGAACGATCGTTCTCGACTCGTTTTGTTTGCCCGCTTGCTCCAACCTGTCGATCCTGCCCGGGCTCTAGAGTGTTTTATGTTTTAGTAGAATTTCTACTCGACAAGACCCAGCCTGTTGTGAGTTCCGACGATGTAAGGGACTTTAGCGGTGTAGTTGAAGACGACAAGGTGTACCAGGTCTACTGGGCTGGAGACTCGCGAACAAAAGGATCATTCTACGACGCGAAAGTACTCTACATGGCAGGTGAGTAGAACTGAAGTACGGCGAGTGATGTACGAGTGCTTTGCATAACATGCTGAAGTCTTAACTGC